AGCAGGCCCTCTCCCCTCATACCCTTCCAGAGCTAGCACCAAGCCCCAAGGGAATCTGCAGCAACCAAAGGTGAAACACACACTGCAGCCAGTCCCAGTGACAGGGGCAGAGATATAGAAGCAAGGCAGCTGAAGCTTGAGCGCCAGCATTATTGGAAGGGAAAAAGCCACACACACTGCAGAATTGTCCCAATCCACCCTACCTCTACCTAGTCACGCTGATTCAGAAGGAAGCAGCGGAGTATTGCATCTGACTGTTAGGGCAGTACTGGGAATTCAGGGCATTTTCAGAGTCTTTGATCACCCATCACTCTTCACATTCTCCCATGGGGTTGGAGTCCTGGGACCGAGGTGACCTGATCACAGAGGTGACACACACCTCCTCAGAGAATAAAGGGATTTTTTTTCAACCTCGAAGCATAGATACAGGAAACGGGCAGTGTAGCAGGCTTGGGTGTCACCTACTGGAAATAAAAAGAAATCCCTCTTATCAACCTCCTAAAGAGAGATCATTATATAATAAATTTTCTTAAAAAAAAAGCTGAGTGCAGTCCCATTTATGTCTAGGTGGAGAAATAGTACATCGAACACCATGAACAACCAAGGTGGCAAGGCAGCTCAAAAAGAAAATGAAAAATCTCCAAAGTAAGCTTTAAGATATAGAAATATTCATTTTAAATGACAGAGATTTCAAGATTGCACTTCTGAAAAAAAAAAAAAAAACTCAATGACATCCAAGAAAATATTGTTTGACAGTTCAAAGAATGAAGAAACAAAATTAACGAACAAGGGGAATGCTTTACCAAGGAGATTGAAACTCTAAAAAAGAACCAAATGGAACTTCTGGAGATGAAGAACTCTTTAAAAGAGATGAAGGATGAAAGAGCAAGCTTAGGAAACAGAGCTGACCAGATGGAAGAAAGAATTAGTGATATTGAAGACAGAAATATGGAAATGATGCAGATGGAAGAAGAGAAGATGAGAGTGAAAAAAAAATGAAATAACTATACAAGAACTATCTGACACTATCAGAAAAAGCAATTTAAAAATAATGGGTATACCAGAAGGAGAAGAGAGGGAGAAAGAAACAAAGAGCCTATTCCAAAAAAATAGTCAAGACTTTCCCAAACTGATGGAAAGACCGGGGTCCTCAAATCCAAGAAACAAACAGAAGACCTAATTATCCCAATCCAAAATGTCCTACTCCAAGATGCATTACATTAAAAGTGTCAAAAATTAATGACAAAGAAAGAATTCTCAAGACAACCGGGGAAAGAAGGTAGTGAATTATAAAGGAAAGCCCATTAGATTATCATTGGACTTTTCAGCACAAACTTTACAAGCTAGGAGGGAGTGGAATCAAATATTCAAACTACTGAAAGAAAGAAATTACCAGCCAAGAATAATATATCCAGCAAAGTTCTCTTTTAGATGTGAAAGAGAAATAATGACCTTTTCAGACACACACGAGCTTAGGGAATTATCCACCACAAGGCCTGCATTACGGGAAATATAGAAAGAGTCATTCTGCCTGAAACAAAGGACAAAAAAAAAATACATAACTATGAGTAAGATGACTAACAAGCACACAGAAAGAAGAAAGTGCAACCCTTAGTAAGAACAGGATATTATAGCACTGAATTTTCAGAGAAAGAAATGAAAAAAAAATTCCTTTCCCATTTGCAACAAAAAGAATATCCAGGAATAATCTGAATGAAGCATGTGAAGGACTTGTACACCGAAAACTAAGAGACACTATTATTATTATTATTATTTTGCATTTGGTTAATTATCCTTTTTTAATTTAATTTTATTATTAGTTTCAAGTATATAGTACAAAAGAGAAAGGCTGGAGGTATCACCCTGCCTGACTTCAAATTATACTACAAAGTGACAATAATCTAAATAGCATGGTAGTGGCAGAAAAACAAACACATAGACCAATAGAAAAGAATTGAGAGTCCAGAAGTAAACCACAGTATATATGGGGAAATAATTTTCGACAAAGGAGCCAAAACATACAATAGAGAAAAGAAAGCCTCTTCGATAAATGGTGCTGGGAGAATCAGAAAGCCATATGCAAGAGAATGAAAGTAGACTGCTATCTGTCACCATAGACCAAAATTAACTTAAAATGGATCAAAGACCTGAACATAAGGCATAAAACAATAAATTGCTTATTAGGAAAACATACATACTAAACTCATTAACCTCGGATTGAGAGAGGATTATATGAATTTGACCTTAAAGGCAAGGGGAGTAAAAGCAAAAATAAATGAATGGGACTATACCAAACTAAAATGCTTCTGCACAGCAAATGAAACCATCAGCAAGACAAAGAGGCAACCATCCAAATGGGAGAAGATATTTGCAAACAACGCTTCCAATAAGGGCCTAATATCCAAAATATATAAAGAACTCATACAACTCAACAATAAAGAAACAAACAAGCCAATTAAAAAATGGGCAGAGGACCTGAACTGACATTTCTCTCAAGACATATAGATGGCGAACAGACATATGAAAAGGTGCTCAACCTCACTAGAGAAATACAAATCAAAACCACAATGAGATACCATCTCATACCTGTTAGAATGGCTATCATCAACAGGACAAGTAATAAAAACTATTGGAGAGGATGTGGAGAAAAAGGAACTCTCATACACTGCTGGTGGGAATGTAATAATTTATGGTACAACCACTATGGAAAACAGTATGGAAGTTCCTCAAAAAATTAAGAATTGAATTACCATATAATTGCCATGAATCCAGCAATTCCTCTTCTGGGTATTTACCCAAAAACCCTGAAAACATTTATCCTCAAAGATATATGCACCCCGATGTTCATAGCAGCATTGTTTATAGTGACCAGGACACAAAAACAACCGAAGTGTCTTATGATAGATAATTGGATAAAGAAGCTACATTGGATAAAGGTACATATATACAGTGGAATATTATTCAACCAAAAGAAAAGATGAAATGCTGCTGTTTGCATCAACATGGATGGATCTTGAAATTATCATGCTAAGCAAAGTAAGTCAAACAGAAAAAGTTGAGAACCATATCACTTTACTCATATGTTGGATATAAAACTAAAAGTAACAAATCTGACAAACAGAGACTTGTGGATACAGATAGTGAATTCATGGATAACCAGAGGAAAGGGGTGGGAGGAAGAAGATACATAGGGGTAAATGGGGTTAAAAATTTCGTGATAGAAGGTAATAAAACTTTGGGTAGTGAACACACAATGCAATATGCGTATGACCTATTTATTGACTTGTACAGTGAAATGGATTTGATTTTATTAACCAATGTTACCCCCATAATTTTAATTTAAAAATGTTAAAAAAAGAGTTTTTCCATGGAGGAAGGAAAGGTGGTTGTTTCTTTATACCAGGCCCCAGTAACAATCTCTTTGCTTTCCTGCATCTTGACTTGGAGTCTACTATGAAGTCAGTTTCAGCAGAGAACCTCCTAGTACCAAGAATTCTGGCTTTCCAACATTTTCTCATAGTGCACACCTTCATGAGCCATACCTTTCTAAGTTTCTGTCCAAAGGTGACAGAACTACCTTGCATCTCTTTTTCAGTGTTAGGGTTTCCTAAATAAGCTCTGAATAAGTGCTGCACACAGGTTTTTTCATGGAAGCTAGCAGCTAAAATTAGAATTAATTCTGCTTCTATTCTGCCTACAAACTTCTCAACCATCTTCTAGCACAGCTGGGGTTACTGTGCACTGTATTACTATACTGGCATGTACTAAGCACACTGTTCTCAGAAAACAAGACAAGTAAGCTTAAGCCTATGAAGACCTCAAAATCAAGATACAGGAGATTTAAATCTATTTAAGGTTTATAGGGGATATCTAGAGAAAGATCGTATGAGAGAAACCAAGATTATTCCTGGTGGATTGGAAGCAGGTTTTTTAAACCACCAGTCCATCTCTTAAACTAATCTCTCTCAGATTTGGCATGAGAAGGATTCAAAACTAAATGTATCCACTGCCCCCTCCACACACGAAACCCAGCCCAATGTCTGGCAGGCACTTCCAGACTCTGCCAGCTCACTGTGTTTAGGGGGATGCTAAAAACAACACCATGATTCTTAAGCTTCTGGACAGAGACCTAGCTAGGTGCAATATGCTATATCCCAACTTAGATACCCAACTCCAGACCTAGGCTCTGTCTATATCTCCACAACTCACGTCATCTCCTGATTTGAACTTACTTATTGTCATTGTTTCTTTCTTTTCCAACTGATGATTATGAACTGTAGTGAGATAACCTGGATAAGAACATTGTTTCCTCTAAAGATCAATAATTAACATTTATAATGTGATAAGGGGAACAAATAAGAAGCAATAAATTTTAAAAAGTCCTCCTGCTACTTTCTCTTACCAAATGGAATGTGACTGCTTACATGTGATGGACTCATGGACACAGAGAATTTAGACCTTAAATATAGACCTTCTTAAAGGGCAGGGGTAGATTCATGTTCGGCACAGCCTTTGACATATCTTGGACAAGCCAGAGCTATCAAATGGCAACAGCCACTCCTGAGTGACATTTAGTTGCTGAGTGGCATTTCTCTGGAGAGGCTTTCACTCTAGTCCAGGGCTAAACAAAGAAGCCTACATATGTGGCTAAAAGAAATCATGACTCTGTCAGAGTAGGTGTGCAAATGTTCAGTTGATCCCATCTACAATTATTCTGGCTCCTGAGGAAAGTAGAACGATGATTCCAATAAGTTTATAAGTAACTTTCATTTTCAAATCCTTGACCCTCAAATCCTTGGCCCCCATAGTCGTTCAGTCCCTTTATAACCAGTGCAAGAACACACTTAAGCAGAAACTAGGGGGCGGGGAGGAGAACATAGACCATTACAGAAGAAAAAAAAAGCACACTGGGAAATCTATTAATCTGTCACCTTTTTGTTCTACCTGCCCTCCCCTGCCCCATGCCCTTCAAGGAGTGACTCTACCAGCCAAGTACTTACCTCTGAGCAGCTACGGTTGCAGCAGCGTCCAGAGCAAAATGTCTCATTACATTCTCCTCTAAATACTTCTGCTCCCACTTAGTCATATCAGCTTCCAAGGCCAGGATCCTCTCCTCTTTCTCACGAAGGAGCTCCATCAGTGCCACGGCATTGTATTCCGAAACATTGGTGGGCTGAGAGTTGCCCTGGCGCTGTTAGGGGAGATGCCGAGATTAGTGAAAGAAGAACCGTGGTGGCCAAGTTCCATTTGAAGAACCTCTATATTTGGAAAGGATTTTTGCCCAAGCCACTTCAGTTTGGACTCTGATTCTGAAGCAAGGGGAATTCAGATTTCCTCCTAAGGCCATATGACTTTCTCTCTTGGGCTTGAATATGAGACTCCCTTGATCAGGAAAGGAGCTTGCCATATCAAATTATCATGCTGCTCAGAAAGTGGATCAATGATTTAAAAGCCACCATCCCTGCCTGCTGGCATGGTACAAAATAGAAATGGGAATTAAAAATCTAGGATTTGGTCTCTACCTTGCCCCCAGCTTGATATGTGAGCTTCAGTGAGTCAGGCAACCTCTTCTGGGTCTTGATTTTCTCTCAACTAAAAATGGGGAGGGGTATGGCCAGATGATTCTAAAGACCATTTCCACTTCTAAAATGATTAGGGGTGTATTTGTATCGCATCTTCACTTCTTATTGGTTCTACTGTTTCTGGGGTTCATGTGAAAAATAAAACATGCAAAATAATAGGCATTAAGAATTTTGCTGGGATGGAAAGCTAAGGAAGCAGGCTTCATTTTTATAATTGGGAGGTACTCAGAGTAAGATCACATGGGGCAAAAATCCTAAAGATGAGCAAGAGTGTGGATTTTGTCTTTATGCCAAACACCAAGTGAGAAGTAAGCAATGAAGAACACTCATTTTCTTTAAGTTCTCCAAACCTGTTGAATTCTGAGGGATTCCAGCTCTCTCTCCAGTCGCGTCCGGAGACGGTGCTCTAGCTGCTCACGTTTTTCACATGCTGCCTGGAGCTGTACAAGGGCCTGCTGCATCTTTTCCACCTTATCTACATACACCTGCTTCTTTTTCAGCTGAAAACCCAGGTTAGGAGAGTCACAAGATGGAAGGAAAGAGAACAACAGGGTCAGTTATGCAACTCCAAAATCCAGCCTTCTGTTTAGATCTCTTCATGTCCAGCTCCAAAACAGAATGAATAACAAGAAGATTCTTCATGAAGAGTAACAGGCTGCTTTGTATTTATCATACAGAGACTGGGATGAGACATAGGAATTAGGAGCGCCTTTTTAATCTCTTCCTCTCTCCCCATCTCTAAGTCTGCCTCAAGTCTATTTCCACCAATAGAATCTAAGACAGACTCTACTGATGGAAGTAACAGTAGATGGAAAGCTCTTAATAGTAGATGGCAACCATTTATCAATGTTCTCACTTCTGCTCTTCTTCACTTTAAACTGGAATATTCTGGGGGGGGGGAAGGTATATCTTACCTTTGTTATTATAGTAGAGAAATGCTTTTAAAAAGGAGGGCTCTCCAGAGAGAAAAGCTTAATTTGGCATGGAAAGGAAGCCCACCCCCCTTTATATAGCTGCCTCCTCTCCAAGAGAGAGAAAAAGGTACAAAGAGGCTATAATTGTCTTTTTGAAGTCTGTAATCTTGGTAATTACCCTTTATTAAAAGAACATATGTTATTTGCAATTTCTGCCTCGCCCATGAGCCTGAGTTGATAATATTGGACTGTAATCTTTCAACTTTTATTCTGAGACCTTTAAAGATCCCTAAAGAATCAAACTAATGAATGAAATCTAAGACTAAATTAGTAAAACATGATTCTTCCTCTTTGCAAGTCTATGAGCCATATATAAAAGCGAAGGTAGAAGCAGGCTGGGACTAAGAATTTGAATTCTTTGTACCCTTGCAACTTACAAGCCAAATCTTGCCTCCATGGGGAGGAAGAAATGAGGAAGATCTCTCTTTAAAGAAGGTATACACACCTTCAACAACTAAGAAAACAAGGGAAAATGCATCCTTCCCAAATTTGTGAGTAAATGAATAGATTTTGTTTTTCATAATTCTTGTGGGGTGCCTTTCTTGCTAATAAAATCAACTGGACTCTTTATAAAGCAGAATTCTTCCAACCTGTCATCTTTTTCATGGAAGCTGAGGTTAGGGATATTTTCACTATTACAATTTAAATCTGAAAACATTGTCGAAAACTTGGTCAAAGGGAAATTCAAGATTTTATCTCAACTCTAACTTTTCAACACATTCCCAAACCCTTGAGCTACCTAAACAGACAGTTTTAGTGTAAGAGGTTACCCACATTACCGGCATTGCCCACACTCATTTAGCTGGGGCCAACCCAGTAGGATCAACTTGACTCCCCTATTGCAGAAACCAGGTGATTCCTTAATTGTAATGAGTCCAAATCACTGCTATCTAGAATGTCCAGTCAGACAGCAACGACATGTAATAATGAGGAAACTCTCTTTGTTTTATAACTGCCTTCTCTCCAAATTGTAATTGCTGAACTTTCCCTAGGTACGAGAAAACCTATCTTATATTTTCCTACCAGACCTGTGGTATGTTTTGTCTACACGACTGGAAAAAGAAAATGTTTAAAAATTTTTCTTTACTTTCTTGACATTTCCTTTCACTCCAAGGCCTAGTTCAAATCTAACCTTACAAATCAGATGAGACAAGTTGAAATCTAGATGTTTCTATCCATTAGACCTTTTCCTAAGAAATAAAACAAACAAAAATCATCATTCTCTTTGTCTCAATAAGCTTAAACCCTTCTTTCCTTGGATATGTGACTATTTATTTGTTACAACACTTGACTAGGGCAGTGAAGACCTTTAGGTCATGGATGCCTCTGCCTTCCTATTTGCTAAGCTTTGAATAATTGGAGTGCAGGAAATATCCTCCATCCTTCATCTTTGGGGTTCTATAATCCTCATGAGCTATTTAAAGTTGAATGCATTTATTTGTGAATCACTCTGAAAATCCTAGGCGAGCAGTGCAGTATTAATGCAGAGAATGTTAACTATAATTACTGAGGCTTACAGCAGTTATACTTAAAAGCAATTCAAGTTAGAATGCATGTAGTTCTTTCCTTGATGGTAAAGTACTGCAATGTAAGTACAGAGAACTGAAAAATAAGCAGTCCAGGCCCAGGTGAATTTCTCCATGATCTGTCTTTCTTGAGAAAGGAAACCTCAATATCATAGCAAAGGCATCCTCAGCAGAAGTCACTAAACCAACCCTATGAAAGGGGAAAACCGTAAAGGCCTAGAGACTTTTCTGAGTTGGCTGAAGATAGGCATGCAGATAAGACAACTTCCACAAAGCAGGCCACGAAAAAATCCCATTGTGCTTTGCCACTAGGATGATTTTCCAAAAGGTATCAGGACCTCTATTGCTGGCATAATTCTCCTAACTCCTTTAGAAGAAGAATGCAGCTCACCTATAAACACCATGATCACCTAGTAAAAGCTTAATCCCTAGATAGGTAAGGATAGAAAAAGACAACTTTTGGATGCTAACAATGCAAGACCCTATAGATGCAATCAGCAATGCTACTTATCTTCTAAGTTACATACTGTTTTCTAGATCTCCTCTATGTGTAGAGACTCCTCTACTATCCTAGATATTATATGCTCCATTTTTATCTTTATCATGATAAATCCCCTCTGCTATCTGCCTCTCCTTTACAAACTTATCTTCTGTGCTAAGCCCCTTAAATGTTAGATCAATAATCAGGACATCTTGGGCCCCCAAATTCATCTTCCAATGCCAACAGAAATGTCAGTCATTCCTTCTTAGGTAAAGAGAGAGGCCATAGTCCAAATCTTGGCTCTCCCACTCACTAGGCATGCAACCTCAGGCAAGCTACTTAATTTCCCTGAGCTTCCACTTACTCATTCATCAATAACAGAGAGATGATAATACAATATACCTCTATAAGGATCTAATGAGGTAATACATGAAGTAGTTAGTAGACTATCTGGTACAAAAAGTACTTAGAGTTGTTTTTTCTTTTTGAAAGAAGAAGTTGATGCCAGAGTTATGCTCTAGTCCTCTCGATTTTGAACATTCACTTCAGGTAGCCTTGGCAGGATTCTCATTATGTCAGTAACTCTAAATATCATATCAGTATATAATCAAGACATTAAAATCATAGCCATTTTCCCCAGAAAGACATATAACACCAGGCCTCAAAACTTCATGCAGTAGAGATTTGGTTATCTTTATACAGCAAGGCCCTTCATTGGATATACAGTTAAAGGAAAGCAATGAGTAGCTGCTAGGAAACCATATTCTCTCAAAATGACATGATTTAGGGGCACCTCTACTTTATTAGAAATATTTTACCTATGGTCAAAGGTACTGTTTAACTAAAGACCCTTAGGCAGAGCTCATTACCCACCACATACACACATGGTGTGTATACACACACACACACACAGAGAGAGAGAGAGGGAGAGGGAGAAGG